GGAACGTGGCTGGTCCGGAGCAGAGATAAGCAGGTCAGGCCCAGGAATGGGTACGTAAGATAACTCTAGAAGTTACTATCCAACGGACATGTCTGCGAGATAGGGACTGAGCGGTACGTAACATAACCCTAGAAGTCACTCTCTAACGGACATGTCTGCGAGATAAGGACTTGAACGTCCGGGTACGTGGCTGGTCCGGAGTCTCCCGTATGCTTCCCCGAGATAGGTACTTGATGCAAACACCTCCCGCCTACAGATGCCTTGACCGGCTCTGCGGCATCGGCCCCTAAATGGCTGCGGTCTTTGAGCCCAAGCTTGTTTGAAAAGGAAACGACATTGCCAGGGTCAACCGTCCCATCGTGATGCTTCCGGCAGTGGTGGCGGCCCTTCAGCAGCCATTACTTGAAAAGGCCCTTGAACCATCGAATACCACATCATCCCTTCCCCTGATGACTCTGCTTCTCTCTGCTCGAGTTGGACCTTATCTTTGCGACGTTCCAGGCGATATGGAAGCTACGTTCAGCCACGTTGGGGGGGAGCCGTTCTGGGGCCGACAATATGGACGCTATGTCGGACACTTCCTTTCATACTCACTCCCTTGGCTCCAAGAGCACAAGCAGCTCGGGCTTCCTTCCGGGACTCGGTGGATGTATTGTCCCCTTCCATCCGGTGCGGGCGGTTACCGTCGCGAAGCGACGTGAATAGAGTCAACGCAGTGACACACAAATGAGACTGTAGCGGCATCAGCGGCATCACTGTCAAGGGTGTGTCAAATGACAGCCATATTAGCTATCGCATAAACCCAATTTAGTTTTAAACCTAAGGAAATGACTTTGTGGGCCAGTTCAATTAAGCGGGGCCACCAAATGTCTTACCTTGCATCTTCGCCATTCTTCGCCATTGCCATGCTGTTTGCCTTATCGTTATCATTTCTGCTGGGATGGTTCTGCAAACCCCAAAAAAGAGAGATTAAAGAAGCTGCCTCAATAGAGGGGTTCCTTGAGTTCATCTGAATCTTGAGTAACCGCCAGCAACACGCATCGCCAGTTGAATCCAATTCAAAAAAAGCTTCTTTTCCACTAGAATACCTTCCACCTGCGTTTTATCGTCCTCATCGCCCACCTTCTGGCTTCTCGCTGTACGATGGCCACCGGTCCTCTGTCATCCACGAAGGAAAGTCCTACGGAGTCAACGGGCCGCACCGCCAGAACCGCCACCGGGCGCGGCGACCCAACCGACCGAGGCAACGGCGGCGTGGCGTTCCCCCTCGCCGGCGTTGACCCGGAGTCGTTTGGTCCTTGCCGGCCATGTGATCACCAAGTCCTCCAGTCGTTGGTGAAGTTTTGGACTCAGTCTTTGGAGTTGAAGTTCTTCACCATCTCTGTTTGGAAGTAGATGTGTTTCACTTGAAAGGGCAGAATCAATTGACATCCCTGATGTGTTCATCCGCCCGAACCTGGGATGCCTTGATCACCAGGAAGGGGCCTCAAGCGAAACTCATGAGTGACATGAGTTAGGCACTGAGAAGGTCCATGATTTGTATGCAGTTCCCCAGGTTGCTAAAGACTTGTGCAAGACTCCTATACATCCTCAGCTTGTGTGGCTAGAAGATGCTAGAAGCAGATCAACCAGCGTTCTCTTTAGACGGGCTGAGGCGGATGCAGCGGAAAAGGCGGTGGGACAGGACCTTGATAGCTTGGAAATTCCTCAGATTCGCAGGCAACTTGTAGGAACTCACAGATTCACGACGCGCTTCTTTAATCGAAACCAAATGGTGCAGCCAAAGCGCATATTGGGTGGACCACGATGCTACTCCCTGGCAGCCACAACAAGCTACTTGCTGACCAAAAGAGCTCACTCTACCGACTTCATTGAAATGTTGGACTCGGGTGACGCACTGACACGGGTGACCCTCGGAGGACCCTCTTGCACATCTGGGGTGTGGGGTGGAACCTGTTCAGGTCTTCGCCGCTCACGTTGCCATGCTCAGTCTGCCGTGTCGTCTCCTGAGTCTGAAATGACGCTGCTGCGTTCGCGAAGCTGGCCGAAGGGCCTGCACAGGGGACCGGTCTCCGGGAGTGTTCCAACTCCAAGGGACCGGTCGAGCCGGTCGTCCAATAAGGCTTACTAGGCTTGGTGTATTCGAAATCGCCTATTTGGAGACTCTATTGACATGAGTCGCCTATTCATATTGTTGACCAATAAGAAAGGAAGAATGCTTGTGCCAAAAGAAGTTTCAACTCCGGTTCTTGGCTCCTGCACGTTCAGTATCAATTGGTAGCCAATTCCATCATTGCTGTGTAACAGAATATATAAGCTGCTCGCCTTGTGTCCATTCTACTCAGCTACCCCTTGCGACGTTTGCTAAATACGCAATCAGGATTGGAACAGGTCGCTGCTCGTTGTCGCTCGGCTGTGGACACGGTTCCGTCTCTCTCTCCCCGCCGTCTTCACGGGGCTCACGGGCATCATAGTCCGAACTGCCAGACGCGCGTCACCGGGCGTTTCTAGTAGTAAGGCACTTGTTTCTAGTAGCTTCTTGTTACTACTAGTAAGGCACCTGTTACTAGTAGCGAGTGCACACTAGGTGTAGATGATTGTCTCGCGTTTTGACGCATTGGTTGCCATTCGGCC